TTGATACCTCGCATGTGTGATGAAAACTCCATTGAATATGAGGTAAAGTGCAAAGGTACCTCCAAACCATTCTCTAAAGTCAGAGCTATCCTCACACATGAGTTGAAGGAGAAAGGGGACGCTGGTGTAAAAGGGTTGTTGAGCAGAGTATTGAAGCTGAACATGTCTGATTGTGGAGCTTGTTTTGGAGCAAGCGCTTGGTGGGAGGCAACCCACTGGTAAGTGTAAATACCATTAGGACTTTCTTTTTGCTTATTTTTGGTTTTAGTTTGTTGAGTCTCAGGTCAAAAATCAGAAAAACTCGAGATACTTCAAAAATTTTATGGGTTTCAGAACCGGAGCAGCTATCCCTCCGAAAGGAGCGGCAGCTCCAGGCGGAGATCAGACGATGGAGAACCCAGAATTTTTGTGGAACGCCTGTTTCACGCAGGTAAGTATCTAAACCAAAAATATTTATATTTATGTTTTTATTTACACCTTCTCTCTGATTTATTTTCACACCGAGACGTTGTGAAGTAAGTCTGGGGGAGGGTCTTTGTCGTTTACTAACTCTTTTATTTCTTTTGGTTTTTTTGTTTGAGTCAGTCTTAAGTCATTTTGATGTTTTTATGAGTCAGACAAAATTTTGTGGGAATTATGACCTTACTTTGTGATGTTTATTAACCACTCTCGTGCTTTAGCTATCTTATTCAGTGACCTTAGCAGTGGCGACAGACACACATGTGGATCCGGAACACCCTAACATTACATCATCTTGTTCTCCAGAAGCTTTCAGCTTGTAGAGGTTATTCTGGAAAGACTTAACTCCATTTAACTTGAACCTAATATTTGACTATAATTCTTCTTGTCATGAGCGTTAGATTAGGGTTTAACGTGATTAACACTCAGGACTTCTTATTCTTTCTATCCATCTTGCTGATCCTGAGTGGCTAGCTCATCTTTAGCTAGTACCCACCTTGAAATCCCTAAGCCTTTATTCCGCCCTCATGCATTTGCTTTTTAGTATTTTATGTGCTGATATGTGCAAAAGGGCTGGAGAGGAAAGGATCGACACAGTCTCTTACTCGTTAATGCTACAGAGTTTTCTGCTGAGAGAACAAGCGGAATCTAGGGAGCAACTGCTTTGCCGCCATTGATCTACCATAAGAGAAGAGAAGGAAAAAAGAAACAAGAATGAGTATAAAGTCAAGAAGTCCAGTGGCACGTCAAATCACCAATGTTACTTCCTGCTTCGTCAGCATCACAAGTGTTATCTTCTTTAAAAAAAAAAAAAAAAATCAACAGAATAAGGTGATGGAGGAGGAGAAGATTTCCAAGATNGCCGCCATTGATCTACCATAAGAGAAGAGAAGGAAAAAAGAAACAAGAATGAGTATAAAGTCAAGAAGTCCAGTGGCACGTCAAATCACCAATGTTACTTCCTGCTTCGTCAGCATCACAAGTGTTATCTTCTTTAAAAAAAAAAAAAAAAATCAACAGAATAAGGTGATGGAGGAGGAGAAGATTTCCAAGATAGATGGAAGCCACTGGGAAATTCGAGTAAAAGAGAGTGTGCAAAAACTTGAAGAGATAAAGACCATGCAGATGATCGACTGTTCCACAAGAAGAACAGACGTTTGATCGGATCAACTGTGCAAGAGGAAGAGTAGGCAAAAACGAGTAGGGGCTGTGGACATCAATGGATCTATCCTCTCTTGCAATTTTCCGCGGTATCCAGCATCCTCTACGAAAATGGTAACCCCTATACACTGATTAGCTCCACTTAAACACAAAAAGGCTTGTTTCATACCTAGACCGTTTACCATGACTAATGCCTATGATGAGAAGCTCACGCCACTCTTAATTGAATGTAAGGAGTTTTGTCTGGAAGGTGTAACTTTTGCAGGTTTGAGATATAGAGTATGGAGCCGGTTTGAACAGCGGTCAGTGGGGTTTTGGTAAGGGTGTGTTGTCCTAGTTTTATTGCTTGTATGGTTCAGAGATTCGTGGTTAAAGTATGGTTGATGAAAATAGGAGAGTTCCCACACTTTCAAACCTTTCTCCATGTTCTTGATACTTGACATTGTTTGAGGACAAACAAGGATCTAAGTCTGGGGGAATTGATATATGGTGTTTTTAGCATATTCTAACAATGTTTTCTAAAGTGTTTTTAAGTCTTTATCGAGTTTTTTTAGTCCTTTTTAAGTCATTACAGGTATAGAGTTGCATTTGGATGGAAGATGGACCAGTTGGAGAAAAAGATTGCAATTTGATGATTTTCACGAAGAACAGTCTGCAAACTGTTCTCGAGTGAGCGGAGCAGCCTGAAGCGCCTGTTCCCGCGGCAGAGATTTTTAAGGAAATCTTAACTTATTTCGGGATTTGCCATAATTCTCCTATTTTTCTCTCCCAGCCGCCGGCAGCCTCCATATATCTTCTTTTCCTATTATCTACATTATACTACGCTACTTTTTACCAGAGAAACAACTCTAGAGCTTTTGGATTTCATACTTTGTAACTTTGAGGGAGAAGAATCTATACAACCTTTGGAGAAGATTTCTAAACCCTCTTACTTATTATTTATTGATTCAGACATGTTTTCTTCATCTATTGACTCTGTGATTTCTCTGTCTATGGCTGAGTAGTCGCTTGTTAGGTTTAGGGTGTTAGGGATCATGGATCAATGAGCTAGACACAAATAGGATTGTTATTCTTTGATATCTCTATATATTGCTATACTTACTGCTTGTGTTAAACTGGCCATTCAACATCTGATATCAGGTTTAATCTAATCATCAAAAGTGTTTTAGGTTGCTAGAAAAGGCATAGATAGGCGATTTGTCTCTAGCCAGCGAGAGTAGATGTTAGGGCAATTCGTGAACCAATTGAACCTGACCTTAATGCTTGTCATTAGTGTCTAATCCAAACGATAGTTTAGGTATTAGGATTGTTTGATAAATTGATAGACACCACGACAGTGGGTTTATTTAACCTTGTTGTTCAAGTTCTAGATTGGCTCTTATTGCTTTCCTGAATAGTTGTGTAGTTCATGATCCTAAGTATCCCGATGAATCATCCTAAACCTAGCTCTTTTATAATCTGAAACCAAACNATAAATTGATAGACACCACGACAGTGGGTTTATTTAACCTTGTTGTTCAAGTTCTAGATTGGCTCTTATTGCTTTCCTGAATAGTTGTGTAGTTCATGATCCTAAGTATCCCGATGAATCATCCTAAACCTAGCTCTTTTATAATCTGAAACCAAACCAACTTGTTACTTGCTTTTTACGTTTTCTTTATTTTAAAACCTCATATTGTTTTAGCTTAATATTGATCCTATAATAATAAAGTGTAAAATTTGGTCTCTGTGGATTCGATCCTCAAGTACTACATCGAACCTCCTATTTGAGAGAGTAGCTTGAAGGTTAATTTGAGCATATCATAATGACAACTGAGATATCAGAAACTCTTTACCTTCCAACCCAAACAAGCGAGGTAAATAATTATCTATGTCTTATGATTATATATAATCATAAAAGTATGTACTTATTTATCATATCGCCTTAATTTGTAGGATCCCATGTATCTTGAAGGTCTGAGTGATAACATTGTTTGTACTCCATCTTCCAAACGCAAAATTGACGATAAGGAAGCACCTGAGCTTCTTTCTACCTCTAAAACAAAGTTCATCAAGCCGATGAAATGGAGAATCCGAAAAATTAATCACTTTTATCCGTTGAACGAAGTTCTTGTTATTTATTTCAAGAGTTACATCCAAAAAGGGTTGAAGATTTTAATTGTGGACGATGAAGGGAAGCCTCAGAAACAAACATTGAATGTCGTTTACAAAGAGATCTTCAAGAATCTCTGATTTTATCAATAATGTTGTTTTAATTTTTATATACTATCTACTTTAGAATTCATTTCCAATTCAGGAATTTGATCTCTAAAATTTAGTTTAACTTTCGTTTTCAAAAGTCTATATTATATTATGAACCGAATATGATACCATGCAGCCAAATCTATACATTTTAACTACCAAATCATTCGACTTTATATCTACAAAAAAATCTCATAATGAACAGGGTCATGTATTTCATCGAATCATATAAATTTTTATCTAATCTATTTCAAAAATAGATGCCAATTTTTGACCCAATTATATTGGGCTCTTAATTATTAATATCTGATGGGCTATTAGTCAGATTACCTATTTATGTTAAGCCTTGAAACCTACTAATGTTTAGGTTTAGTTCTTATCTATACAAGACTCATCGATTGACTACAATAACCATAATATCTCTTCATTTATCTCTCTCTCATCGGAAAACGGTACGATTTTCTTTCTTTGTTATTTCTATTCTTTTGTTCTTTAAGAGATGTTGTTCTGTTGTTAGATCTGTTCTATCTTAGTTTGTTTCGAATCATCTGCCTAGAATAAACTGTCATAAAAGGTTCTTTGATCATATTTTATTGAATATTGTCATTCTAGGGTTATAGTATCAGTTACGCTTTATGTTCTATTGTATGAATATTTCATAAATCCTGTTAAATTATGTGGATCTAACTATAGAAGATATTTTGGGGTTTAGATATATTTTATGTGAATTTATCTTAGATCTTAAATCTACATAATAAATATTTAGGGTTTACTATATTTCCATATTTGTTTCCTAAACTTTCGATTCGCTTTTGTTTCTTTGTTCTTTTCACCCTAAAGCATATAAGACATGTTTTCTGTTGTTAGATCTGTTCTACCTTGAATTGTAAACCGCCGCTAGGTTACAAATCTTTTTTTATTGAATATTGGCAGTCTAGGGTTATATTTTTTAGTTACTATTTTCTTTTTCCTTTTATGAATATATTATTAACAGTTTTAAATTTAGAGGAAATAAATTTGGGATTACAAATATTCATAGTTAATTTATGTTATATCTTACGATTTATTATATTTCCTTATTTGTTATATTTGTTTTCTAAAATTAATATTTTGTTTCGGTTACATTGAGAAGTATCTCAATGGCAGGTAACAAGGATCTCAAAATGAAAGGTCAACTGATGGAGGAAAAAGAAGAAACTGTGAAGGAGGCTTACCAGAGGGGTAGGTTCGAGATCATGCAGCATTATAGGGCTATGATGGTGATGTATCGTGACCAGACTAAAGCTATTGAGGCAAGACACCAGGATGAACTCAATAAGGTTCGCATTGAGGCGAAACTTGACTTGCTTGAAGAATGTGAAGCTCTTTTTTCCATGTACCATGAAAAGAAGAAGACAGAGTTCAAACTGGTCCTTGCCGAAGCCAAACTTGAAGATGTTCAGGTTTCTACTATCGATTGGTTCAAGCTGGGTGAGCCAATGATGTATGACTGAACATCTAACAAATCCCAATTTGAAACTTAAAGTTTTAAGTTTATTTAAAATCTTTTTTTTATTTGAACATTATATACCGGTTGTTTACAACCGGTTTGTTTTATTAAAAAATTTATTATTAATGTTTATTATTGCTTGATCTATTCTTATTCCTTTATTTATTGCTTGATTTACTCATATGTTATGGTGTTTTAGGATTATTTTTGTTTAGAAATAATGATTTTAGTTATGTTTAGTGTTATTAGGTTTAATAGTATATATTCTGCTTTGTTTAGAAGTTTAATGATTAGATATGTAATATTTCTTTTCTCTTTATTAAACAACTATCCTATTTTTAAACTTTATCTTTTTCTTATTTAGTAATCTTAATTTTATAATATATGTTTGTTATGATTTTGTTTTGACAATTCCGAAATGTACTTCTGATATGATTGACAAATATCTCAACTTCCAAAACGATTCTTTTATAAAGTTCCTTTGAATGATGTTTTTTCCAAGACGTAATGATTTAAAATTTTTGTCATGTTATCCATATTTTGCCACCAAAATATTTCGTATATTTATTGAGTTTATCCATGCCAAATAATTATGGGGAAACTATTTGTTTAGACCAAATAGGTTTGGATATTGTCCCTTTAGGCTAAATTATATTTTGTACCAATTTTGACTCTAATGCCCTTTATGTATTTTCAAAATTATTAAAAAAAAAAGATTTATGAAGCAATTTTTTTTTAAAAAATAGTACATAATGATGAAATCTCTATATCTATATAGTGATATTTTTTTATTGTTTTAAAAATATGTAAATAATAATTTCATATATCTATTCTACCGAAATTAGAATATGTATTCTACGGATTAGAATACGGAATCCACTTTTTTCACTATTTCTACGAATTGCAGAATATGTTTTCTACGGAGATAACATGAATCTAAAATAGTTTGGAATACACATTCCACGCTTATCATATAGTTCTAAAAAGAGTNAGTAGAAGTTGAAATCTAAATTCGTACTTAAATCTAAGACAAGTAGAAGTCAGAATCTAAATTCGCACAACGTTCTAATACACGTAGAAACTGATTTCATATCTTTTTACACAGTTCTACGTTTAGTAGAATCTGAATTCTACGGATAAATATTATTAGATCCGAAAATATAGCAAGAATATCTTAGAAAATATTCTATCTATACTATTAAAAGAGAAGGAGTCTAAATAAATCTACTTAAAAAAGTTGTTTGGACCCTTTCATTAGACTAACATTTGTTTTATCTTTCCTTATATTTCTCTAACAATATTGTACAATAACATTATATCATATAACTTACCTTATATTTCTCTAACAATAAATTAGTCAATATTCTTATTTATTATACATTATTCTTATCGGTCAATATTTTTATTTCTCCACAATACATTATTATAACCTTATACCATATAATTTCATAATACGTGACTGATTTCACACATTATACAAAAACTATATCATTTGCTTGAGCCACCAACTGTGCAACAGTACCCTCTATCATTTCCATTGATTAATTTTCATAGCTGATGTTTGATAAATAGAGAGTATAAAATATATTGAACATCTCCATTCACGATAAATATGTTTAAAACCAAACATATTATTATTTTAGAGTAAACCTATCTATAACATAGTATATGGTAATAATACAAAAAACGGTTTATTATCATAGTATTCTAATGTTTGGGGATATTTATACAAACAAGTTATAAAATTAATGATTTATTATTCTAGAGAAACTATTTTAAAACATTAATTTTGTTTAAAAAGATATCTAGACTCGTGAAAGATTGTAACTTATAATTTCAATATTTTCATGAATAATCTAATTTCTATGTATTTCCAGTGTGGTAATTTCTAATTTCCAGATATGTAGCGGGTAGGCTTGGATACTTGAAAAATACTTCAAACAATAAATAAATACTCAAAATATATTCAAATATCTGAAAACCTTGAATTTTACCTAATCTGACTCGAAAAACAAAATATATCCAAAACTTTGATTTGAATATCCAAAAATATATATATATATATATATATATATATATATATATATATATATATATATATATATATATTTTAGAACCCGAAACCTAAAACTGTTACTAAAACTTAAAAGAATATACATAATACCAAAAACATATATGAAATATCCAAACATATATAATAAAAAAAAATATTGAGTACTTTTATGTACCCGATTGGGTCTCGGTTCTGATCTATAGTAGAATCAATTCCTGCGGGTCTTTAAAGATAGCCAGTAAGTACTTTATCATGGATCTTACCCGAACCTATATTTTCGGGTCGGTTTGGTCATGTTTTTCGATCCGGATAAAATGTCAAGACCTAGAGAGAGTTACATTAAAAACTTTCATATAAAATCTCAAATAAACTAATTTATAAATTACATAATTTTTCAAAAAAAAATCTATTTTATATATTAAGATTTGTAGCCTAATAATGTACATCAATTCTAAAATACTAAATCATATCAAAATTTGTTTATAATCTAACAAAAACCCGCGCTTTTGAAGCGCGGGTCAAAATCTAGTTACCATATTTAAAACTCCATTTTTTTAAAAAAAAGGAAAATTCGATTTTTTTTTTTAAAAAAAGGAAAATTCGATTTTAAAAAAAAAAAAGAGGAAAATTCGATTTCAAGATTTTTATTTTTAATTTTTAATTTTTAAAAATATAGCAAGAATATCTTAGAAAATATTCTATTACCATATTTAAAACTCCATTTTTTTTAAAAAAAAAAAAAAGAAAATTCGATTTTTTTTTTTAAAAAAAAGGAAAATTCGTTTTTTAAAAAAAGAGGAAAATTCGATTTCAAGATTTTTATTTTAAATTTTAATTTTTTTTTAAAAAAAAGGAAAATTCGATTTTTTAAAAAAAGAGGAAAATTCGATTTCAAGATTTTAATTTTTAATTTTTAATTTTTAATTCGATTTCAAAATTCAGTTTCCTTCGTCTTTTTTTCCCCGATTTCAAGATTTTTATTTTTAATTTTTAATGATTTTTAAGTGAATTTAAGGGCATTATTGCCATTTAGAAAATATTTAGCCTAATGGGACAATAAGTTAATGAATTTAATCTAAAGGGACAATGTCCAAACCTATGTGGCTTAAAAAAAACTATTTTCTCAATAATTATTACTCTTTTTGACCACTTTGCTACATGCAAAAATCAAATATAATAATAGGATAGTTTAATAATATTCTTTTGATATCTATGCAGTGGATTGTTTAAATAAGATAAGACTTTTGTTATAATACTATTTTTAATATTTCAAATTTTACACTATTTTGTAGTATGATATTTCATGTTAGATTATGGTTTATCTTCAGAATTTTTTCTATTTATAAAACTATATTATCTTGAATCATAGATGTTATTATTTTACAACTTAGTTGGAATTTGATTATAGGCTATGGATCCATCCAATTTTATAGTAAGAATTTCTTTAAGTTTACTATGGGCTTTGGCTCCATCCAACCAAATTTCACATACAAATTTCACATACTATGGGCTTTGGCTCCATCCAATCAAATTTCACATTCAAATTTCACATACTATGGGCTTTGGCTCCATCCAATCAAATTTCACATACAAATTTCATATACAAATCTATCACATACTATATTTTTTGGTTAAATATACATCAAATTTCACATACAAATCTATCATATAATATAAATCGAATAATTTGATAAGAAACAGTTACAACCAAAAAAACCCGCGCTTCTATATGAAAAATAATTATATAACATATTGATATACTGTGATATAATAAACGAAAATCTATGTGTACATTTGCTGTATATTGAAATAGAAAACTACCAAATAGATGATACTTGGTGTAATAAGAATGAATCAGAATTATGTTTTCAGTTAATAGATTTGTTTCATTAATTAGAAAAATATATTATAACTATTTTGTCATTAGTCAGTTTGTTACGATTTTGGATATGAAATCTCATTTTCAAAATATCATACATAAGAAATCACACATAAGAGATAAATGTATATTTTCACAAGATGAGACTAATCTTTCGATATCAATATTGTTTCCATAATACCAGGAGCACATATTGCACAATAATATATATGGCATAGATTCACATAATATGCTAGATTTTATCAGTCAAAAATTTTAAAATATTTAATATTGGTAACGTGCAAAAGTAAAACTCAATAATGGCAAATACATTTAATTTCGACAAAAAAATATAGGTCATTAAATGAAGAGTTGCAACTCTAGAAATCTCTTTTTTTCTTCTCTTTATAAAGTGGAATCTCTACCGTCTCCTATCAAAATCTCTTTCTCTCCAGATTTTTCTCAGCAAACCAGAAGAAAACGCTTCGTAAGTTATCTCTCTTTTTAGTTTTTATCATTGCAAGTAGAAGGAGGATTTGTCCTCGGTTTCATATAGAATCAACCTTTGTTACCTATTTTTTGTAGATCTTTCATTGTTGAACCAAACATGTTGTTTATTTTGTATACGATTATAGCAGACATACCAACATGCATGATCAGTTCTAGAGAGTTAATAAGATCCACGCTTAAGTTGGTTAAGATTTCTGTCATGACAAATGGTTATCTTTCCTATATACTCTCTTTTAATGTCTTCATTGAGAGTTAAATGTTTTGTTGGTGTTATACATCATCTTTTTTTCTAACAGAATTTCCATTTATATGAACATGCAGATCATGATTTAAGTATGGCTGCGCACGAGTTTCGTGGATCAGTGTTGCAAGAGGCTTACACGTCTGGAATGAATTATAGGACTAATCATTACCGAAGGATTCTTAACATGTACATGAGGTTCCATGGAGCCGTCGTTGCGAAGTATAAAGCTGAGGTGGAGGTGTATCGCATTGCTGGTAAACTTGAACTCTTTGAAGAACTCTTCAACGATGGCGTTATGAACCATGTGAAGGACAAGCTGGAAAAGGAACTTGCTCTTGC